CACTCCCACCCACCCCGCCCCGCCGCGCGACGCCGTCCGAAACCTTTTCACTCCTTTCAGTCCAACCACTGAAAAAAAAAGGGAAGAGCAGCGGCGAGGCCCCTTTGCTCGGACACCACCCCGCCACGCCCCACTCGGGCTCGGAAACGCCGGGGCGGGGCGGGGTGGCGAAGAGGAAGGAAGCAAAGGGGACGTGGCGGGGCGCGGCGGGGACGCGGACTGACGGCTCGACCTAATGAGGGTCCATTTCCACCTGAGATGCTTGGCCAGGCAGCCTCGCCTCCCCGGCCCCGCCATCACGGCCAATGGCGGCCATTCGCCGGCCGGGCCTTCACGCTCGGCCGCCCCCGCCCTGATGCCCCACCCCGCGAGGCGCGGCCGCGGAGCACCGCGGGGCGCACCACTTCGAGGACATGATGGGCTCGTCGGGGCGCCGCACCTCGCGCCCGTGGCCGTGTGACCCTCCCAGCGGGAGCCAAAACTAACTGGGTACTGGGCGACCGCCGGCACAGGAGTGAAAGAGCGAGCAAAGAAGCGTTTCGGCAAAATAAAGATTTAAAATACCTCATGTTCAATAACTCATTTGAAGGCAGACGGGCGCAAAATGTGGGTCAGGGAGAAACGTATTTCTACTCTTCTTTTTCTGCTAACACACACACCCACATTCGCGCGCGCGCTCAGGCTCGCGTCGGCGTCCTGCGATGTCTGCGAGTAGAATCACTGCATCACATTCCCACCACCACCACCACCCTCGCACCAGCATCACGCTTTGACCCGCCACGCTGGGCCTCGCCACGCCACACCACACCGCGCCACGCCACGCCACGCATAGCCACAGACCACGCCTAATGTCTTTTCCATTATCACGGAAGACTGCGTCTTGGACTCTGAAGGGATGGGCAAATGGAAAGAAAAGGAGGTGGAAACGGATTTGGGCGAGACGTTCGCTGTGAAGGAGGCAAAAGAGAGGGACAGGGGGAAAATGTAAGGAGAGGGAGAAAGAGGCCTTGGCCACATCTTTCAACTATGTTCCCACATGTGGCCGGCCCGTTTTAGAAAAAAAAAATAAAATAAAGACTGCTTTTAGAAAACTCAACAGTGGGCATCCACTGTTCAAGAAGGTGGCAAAAATCTATCGCCGTGAAACTATCTTGTTGGTAACACAAATTTCATTGGATCAATATCTGACTTCTTTGTAAATCGAACATTAGAAATTTACACCCTCAACACGACACCATTTTGCCGTTATTGGGTTTCCAAAGTAGCATACGGGCAGAAGGGGCGAACTTTCGTATAATTCAACTTACCGTTGAGGACGTGGACCCCGACGGACGCCGGGTTGGCGTTGGACGGTACGCAGGTGTAGTTGCCCGAGTCGGACAGTTCCGCTCTGGTCACGAGCAGCTTGGACGTGGTGCCCTTCTCGGTGCGCTCCGTCTCCAGCGAGATGCCGCCGCGCGGCGAGTCGAAGTCCACGACGGACGGGCCGTGGTACCACAGCACCGAGCCCGGGGGCGTGGAATGCACGTTCACGGTGCACGTTAGACTTATGGTGGATCCCTTCTTCACAAACACCTCCTCGGGGCCCGAGATGTTGGCTTGCGCCGCTGCGAGAACGCAGAGAAAATGAGCCATCAGAACAGATACAGGGCAACGAAAATGGCAATGTGCAGGTTATTTCTCCTTCGCGAAACCAATCGTGATTTGGGTTTCATTAAAAAACGTGCATCTGAATTCGTTTCTTAAAATTTTAAGTGTGCAGTTCTGTTTCTGTTTTCAAAGTAAAAGTCACCAGTTTAACGAAGAAATTTAAATTTAACATCTGCATTTTAAGAGAAAACGTTTTTTGGTGACAAAAGTTAGTCGTAGTAGCACTTTATAACTATTATGTGGTACTATGGTGTAATGAGTTGTGCATTTTCTAGTGATAGAAGGCGAAAGAACTAAAAGACCGCTCGTTATTTTATCTGGAAAGAATGTGGTAGGTTGTGTAACATTACAGGTGTGCGTGGTACCAAGAAGTACAAGCTTCTACCCGGGAGATGTGAACTAAAAGCAAAACGTAGTTTTCATTTATTTTTGTTTTGACTTAACCAGTCATCCGCCCCTACCACTTACATTAGTTAACATACATGTATCGGACTGACTTCGTCGAACAAGGTTTATCAATTATCAAATGTGGTTATTCGGTTAGTGTCGTTGGGTTTCATTTACCATGCAGGTTGGCTACAGGTCAATAGAAGAGAAAGAAAAACACAAACAAAATTGGTATTATCAAAGGAATGCCATGCTTCACAATTCCCATTCCAGTTATTAAGGCACACACGTTTAGGTCATTGGTTAGACTTTATTTTTAAATGTACATTCTAAGAAAGGAAGACGCTTTTAGAAGTCAAGTTTAGAGTTGCAGGAGAGAAAGCGAAAACAAGCTTCTAAAGGAGAACAATTCTGAAGAACAGCAGCTTACGTGTATAACGACAGAGACTATAAATTTCGGGGGGAGAAAGCACGGGAAAGTGTACACAGCTGCCTCCAAGCTGAGAACGCTAGAGATGCGAGAAGATAGTAATGGCCAGAAGGAGCGCAGACCAGTCAGTCAATAAAATAATCTTTTCAAAAACCACAGATTAGTACACGCCACATTAAATTATGTGTTGTATATTGTTAAATTGGCGCCGACTAGACCATGGGTTTTGAAAGCATCGACAAAAAAAAAAAAAAAGCAAGCTCAGACCCTAACCTTTATTTTTGAAGGCCCCGGTGGACGTCCTGCTTGGACTGTCGGAGTCTGAAAGACAAGCAAACATTGTATTTAGTGGAAAGAATATGCGTCCGATGACAACAATATCTATCTCGCCACGCTGGCTGGGTAGATAAAAGCCGATGACCAAAAGCTTTCTCAGATTTAACAAAACGTATGGCACAGAAAGCTCATTTATAACTAAACATATAGCTGTAGACGCGCATTCTGCGTCCACAAAACAAGACCTTAACATCAAGATGCCGGAAAGGGAAGTGTGAAAAAGCATATAGGACAAACAGGTCTCATGACACTAATTTCACGGAGGTTGTTCTTCGTCTTCGTGATCCATTTTCAAACGTTCGCCTTGTAAGAGACGGCATCTGCAAGTCAACCACTAACGATCCTAGTGACTCCCTGTTTTTAGAGGAAATGAGTTGGTTGCCGAGCCGGGGGCCGGGCTTGCTACCGGTCGGGCCCGTGCGGCAGAGGGACCCCTCTGAGGTACCGTGCAGCAGAGGAGAGGGAAGACGGGGGAAGGGGCGACCTGACCAGGTTTTGCTGTCGTCCCGTTGCTTGATTGCTCTGCGGGGATCTTAGAGGGACTGGGTGAGTGAGAGCGGATGGAGGGACGGGGTGGGGGGCAAAACACTCGTCGGTGGCACCACTCAAGTGCCTGCCGTATAGGGCCGCCCCTTACACCATTCTCTCCCCCCTGCCTGCCCCGCCCTCCTGGCAAAGACTCGATGGGGCTTTGAGGAGGGACAGGGGCACCATCTAAGGTTCGCCAACTCCGTTGCCAACATGCAAAGCGAGAGGGCGGCTGGGTCAGGGGGAAAGGGGGGGGGGGGTTTACTTGGGTCTTAGGAGGGGTCGATTACATATCAAACTTTTCTTGGTATGGATGGGTCCTCAATGAGCTCGACCCTGCCGCTGCCATCTCCCAACAGCAAAAGAAAGCGATTGTTCCACTCCCACAGAGTCAGCCGACCTGCCCCTGACAATCGGTATGGTTTTGAAATGTTTTGTTAAATACAAGCATCTGCTTTCGTCAAGGGCAATGCTCCCTGGTGACTGCTTGCACTTGCCCCACCCTACTCTTGCCTCCCTACCCCTGTCCTCAACACGCCCTGCCCCACCATGGACCGACGTGAGGGCCTCCCAAAAAGAGAAGTGCTTCCTCGTGATTATCACCTTCTCCTTCCAAAAGCTGAGCCGCAGCAGAGAAAGGGAGTAATGAAACACGCCCTCTTCATTCCGTCAGAACGTGTCCATGAAAGCATCGCCACACCCTCTGCGTCCAATCCTGCTCATATTCTTCCGTCAACGACACAAATTATTTTTTTGGCGCGGGCGGTCTTTTGAAAGCTTCTAATGAAGCCGCACTCGACCTTCCGATGGTAAGAAAAGTAAGGGACATAGAAAGATAAAAAAAGGAAAAGGGACAAAAAGATGCAGAGAAGATGGTGGGGGGCGTAATTCTTCGATGGTAGTAGTAAAGAGAGAGTTGGCAGAAGTATAAAAGGGAAATACAAACTGGGAGTACAGAGTAAAGAGACACCCAACTCTTCTGGAACAAAGTGTTTTCGCTCGTGTGTATACAAAGTGAAGTTTTTAAACAATCTCCCTTACTGTTTTGTTGACGATACGGCGAAAAGACGAGAGGGTGAGGCGTACATTTAGCTGTTACTTAAAAATAATTTTTAAAATGGTGGCCTACCCGATACGGAGTAGATTGGTGTAGATGAACTTGTCACACACTACTACGAAAGGAAGGAAGCTATTCTGTCTGACAAATCTTCTTATTCCTATAACAAACATGCCATGAAACCTCGCATGAAACACCTAAAACCTCTCTTGACTGCTCCGTGCGACTTGAATATCAGCTAGATGGGGGCGTTGGGATGTCGTAGGAAAAATACACCAACGCAGCTCGACCTTGCGAGCACTAACCCAGATGACTACCACTACTTTTCTACCGTCGACGGTGCCCTTCTGGTCCGCAACCTTCAACGTTCTCTTCCGTCTCCTACTGCGCCTCTTCCTCCTCCACCCCCTCCAAGATTCCTTCGTTCCGATATCATCTGCCAAGAAGACCCCCCTTTCATCCTTGCTTCCTTTCTTCCTATCCCATCCTGCGCCCACTCTAAGGCTCTGCCACTTGCCGGAATCTCTCTCTCCCTCTCCGGCTATCCTTTCTCTCTTCTCTTCCTTGCTGTAGCTCCCTTACTCTCTCTCCATATCCTAATCAGGCTCCATCACCTGATGGACCACTTACATTTTACATCTGACCTTGTTCTGCTACCACCCCACACCCCCCAGCCCCAGCCACCTCCCCGGTTTTTACTTCCCACGCAACGTGCACGCGCCTGCTCTGAAACATTTCATAATTTATTCTCGTCAGCTTTCGAAAAAATCGACAAAAGCCGTGCGCGAAACAGACGATGCAGACCTAAATCCTTCCAAAAAGGTGTCTGAGACCGCAGGCCTGCCCCACAAAATGACCGGCAGTGGACGCCCAGCAGCGAACACAGCAAGTGTTATTGTTTTATGAAATGTTCTCATAACGGTAATAGCTGATGCTGGCGAATATGTGGTTGGAAGGGGGAGTAAGGGCACGGTCCGCAAAGGCGACAGCAGTATGTCCTGTTACCGAAAATAAATATTTTCGTTTGCAAATCGGGCGCTGAATAGGCAAAGCAAGCTCAAGGCAATCACCAGCACAGCAAAGGGCCCCCCTCTGCTGTGTGCGGCTGTCCTGCTCAAACATTGGCGGCGCGTGTGTGTGCTCCCTATCAGCGGGCCCAGCCTCACCGGTCAGTAAAACCACAAGCCGCGCAGCGGCAGCCGGCGCCAGCGACGGAGGAAGGTCGCCGACTGTGTTGGCCTCCGGGTGGCAGAGCAGGGCTCGAGCCACATAGGAAAGGGGGGGAGGGGGGCAAAAAAGACCCTAACCCACTTATCCGTTTTTAACCAAACCCGTTAGGGTCGTTTCTAAACAATAGAGGGGATGAGCGTCACCTAACACACCAGAAACCTGTTGCTTAGTACTGCTAACAATCAAAATTGCGTCTGTTAGGCCCATGGAGTAGGCAACAGTAGGACTTTTCATACAACATACAAATGAAACAAAATTTTCCTAACCTTAGATTCGTTTTGCGGTCAACATTAACTGTTAACGTTTCGTATTTTCCTCCCACTGCCCTTGCAACACCTTCCCTCGTGTAACGAACAGGAGAAATGAGATATACACTCGCTATAGACAGTTATATAACATTCAGACATTTATAAAAGTGCGCGTCACGTAACACACTATTTGGTGTGTGACATTTTTAAAGGCACTTAAGTATTCGAATGACACGCACTTCTATTTGGAGCGTAGGGCCGGAAACTCTGACGGCGCTAGAAAACAATAGTTCAATTTTGCACATCAGTTGATATGTCAAAAAAAAGTGCTGTGAACCGAGGGGTACCTAACTTGGTCCAGTCTTCGTACACTTGGTAAAATAATCAAATTATAATCATTCACAATCAACTCCAATCTTCCCAGTCTTTTCCAGTCTGTCTACAGTCTCTCCAATCTTTAC